TATCCTCGGAGGTAGCAATTAGAGGCGCGAGCCATTCTGGATGAATCGGACAACTTTCCAAACTGACTTACATCAGTCTGTACAGCAATTACAACAGATGATAAGTATGTGGGTTCAAGTATCCAAAGAATGATGAAGAAACAGTGGAAAACAGAGCAAATTTGTTCTATAAATTTACACTCTTGTTATGAGAATTTAAACATAAATATGGAAGTTGGTGACAGTTCAAAGGATTCCTCTTCTAATGTCAATCTTGATGTTCGTAATCCGATCTCTAAACTGGTCAGCTGTGGCAATCTCGCTTTTGAGGCTTCGGAGACCGCTATACTTACTCCATTTTGACTGCTGTGCCATTGTAGAGAGCTTATAACCATCTCCAATATCGCGTGATTTTCCATCCTACCAACTCGTTTTCTGTATGCAGGCTATATCCACTCTTCGTCTTCTTAAGAGATCCGCTAATCTCGTTGTCGTCCAGTGAAGGTTCCGCCATTGAATATAGCCTACCGAAGCGTCAGTTTTCGGATATTTGCCTATGAAGAGGCATTCGCTTCCGCTCATAAGAATGGCCGTTGCCCAACATTCGCACCCGTCGTGCTCGAGTGCGCGTCGTTTCCGGGAGATGCCCTAGGTTTTACTCGATACTCTTTATTAGACATTGAACTCATCTAAATGCGACAGGGTGTCAGCCGGCTTGTCGCGCCCCGTGAGGAAAGGTCTGACAATAGATCAACGAATTATGTCTCATTGAGGAATCGAGCTGGCAATCTCGTTGAAATGAGATCGTGGCGAAGCACTGACTACTCTGCTAACTTTGCCTAGACTTGAAAAACTCTTGCAACATTCTGGCACTTCCACTACGCAATTGCTCCACAGTTGCTTGGAATCAGTGTTGTTAACAAGTAAAAAAAATGTTTTTCCCACTACACAAAACGGATTTGGTAGTTGAATAGGTTTCCTCAGATAAGCGCTGTTTGGCTTTCGTTCCGAACTTGCATATTATTTTAATAGTTATAATGCCTTAGGCTTTTGCCCGCCGATTTATCATTTAACGTTCTTCAAGAACTCAGTCTTCTTAAGGTTAATTTGCAGTACCATCCGCTTCCCTCCTTCGTTTAATTACAACATCGTCTCCTTTTCAGTGATATTTCTCGAGAAGAGAACAATGTCGTCCGCAAACGAAGGTTTGAGAGGAATCTTCCATAAACTCGTATACCTCTCTCTCTCGTTCCAATCAAGTGAATTCAGCACCCACTGCTAAGCGGCGGTAAACAACTTTGGCGACACGGGTCGCCTTTCGAATCCTCTTCGAAATATTAAGGGTACGATGGGAAAGCTATATCGTAGCAGTTCCTGTAGCAGTCGGCCACATGTAAGATGGGTGCACCCCTTGGTCGACAAAGCTGACAGTATGGCATCTGTCTCGACGCTATCAAACGCTTTCTTCAGTCGGCGAAAGTTAGGACAAAAGGTAGCGGTACTCTCGGCAAACTTCGATAATCCTCGAAAGTGTCTGGATGTGATCTGAGCAGCTGAATCCCTTGTGAAATCCAGCTTGTTCTGCAGGTTGGGCTTCATTCAGTGTCCTTGATATGCAAGTGAGGATAATCTTGTGAAGAGCTTGTAAATTGCGCTCAACAGGCATATTGGACGATAGTTCGAAAGATCCTTCCTATTGCCCTTTTTACGAAGCAAGATTGTTTGGGTGGTTCTCCTGGTCGGAGACCCCTTCCTTTAAAGGTAGGAGGTATGTTCCGCAAGTATTTTGTGTACAGTGTCCTCCAGCTTCTAAGAGGTCGGCCGAAACATGGTCCGGTCCCGGAGCCGTGGCCGCCTTCATGGTCCGGATTGCGGCGCGTACTTTGGCAGGTAGAATCTGTGGTGGCATCTCTCCAGTTGTAATAACAGGGTTTGACACGGGTGTTGACGAGCGAAAGAGATTGTATAGAATCTCTTCGTGGTCGATTCCTTCTTTTGCGGGGAAGATGTGCATGTCCCCCCCTTCGCTTAGTAAATGTTCAACGGAACACGATAATCGAAAAAGTCCCTGTGTTACATCTTGAGACTTCTCCTTCCTTGTGCTGCTTTTAAAAGTTTCTGCCTCTACTTTCGAAGATCTTCTTACAAAGTTGTTCTGCAACTGGTATTGACTATCACTCGCTTGAAATGGGATGCAGTCGGATCTAACAGTACTTTTCTCCTTTCTAAGATCCTTGGTGACTTTCGAAATTCATTCCAAGTTCCTTGTGCGAGGCATTGAGGCACTTGCACCACAGGCTCTGTCCTCTAAGAAACAGGTCGTAGCCTTTCGTTGGGTCCTCCTCGATAGGCCAGTCACAAGTGGTCAAGAGTTCCTCCAATCTGACACCGTCATATACACTTCTCTTCCCCTAACATGGTGGCAGAACTTCTTTTCCAGCTTTGGGCTGAATCGCACTTTTGCTCGATTGAGGCGGTGCCGAGGGTCTGAGCCACTACTGAGGGATGGTACCCCTGAGACGTCCAGTAAGCACCACCTTCGGTTGGTGAGAATGTGGTCGATCTCCTCATGAGTCGTAGTGGGTGACTCCCATGTCCACCACCAGTTTTATTTATTTATGAAGATGGAGTTGCTATTAAAAAGTGCGGCCGATAAGAGCCTAGCAAGACGGTTACCATTCCCGTTCCGGAATCCTGATCCAAATTTCCCGATCTTATACTCCCCTTCTTTTGGCATCCCTCGAATAACCCTCATAAAAAGCATCAAGTTCCATAGCTGCTGATGTTGGAGTATAGCAGTTGTTGATAGTAATGCTTTTCTGATGCGGAGGACGGAGCCGAGGGGTAACTTGGCGAGATGATAGGATCTCAATCGATAAGATGGGGAACAGATGGGTTTACGACAAATCCAACGCCTACGATGTTCCGCGGTAGAACTTCCTCACTACCTGTGGTGTTCCATCACTCGTCTGCCTCACGTCCGTCTTTCTGGACTTTGTTTCCTATAAAGCAATCATGTGTTAGTTAATGCAGCCCTGCAACTTCAAAAGGCCTTAAAGGTGGGCGTTGGTGGAGTTTGTCCTGGCGTTATAGGTGCAGAGCATGACAATCTCCATGGCCAGTTCGCTTTGGTCCGTAATCCCTGGCGTCCTGTGGGACCTATACTGGTCTTCATGACATCCGACGGAGGAGAAGTGATCCAGTGTGCAGGGCTTCTTTTTCTCTTACGTGTTGTGCGGACAGTAAATTTTCCCCAAACAATAGCATCCTTGCCAGGGCCTGCCAAGTTGTCATCAAACGCAATCGCTGACCTATATGGATCAGGGAACTGCCTAGCGAAATCAGTCAGACGGTGGGCTTTCATGGCATGGCCTACTTTCCTGGGCATCCGGGGAGCCGGAAATGTCGAACTCCTTCTCAGCTCAGGAGACCCTGCTGCAAGATAAACCTCCTACTTCGCAGTGCGATACCCAGAGTCACCCCCGCATTATGAGGCGGTAGACTATCGCGGGAGATGGCAGCCATCTACAAAAGACAAAAATTAGTTTTAAAGTTTCTGTTGTGTAGTGGTGCGTAGTTGAGATGTCATAGAGATACAAAGCCGGGTATGCCAGCTAGCCCGTAAAGCAATGGACTTCGATTATGATAACAGAATGATCTTATATAAGTTAAAGCAAGTAAGTTGCATTTCTAAAATGTTTCAAGTGCTAATAGTCTTCTTTACGCTTTGTCCTACATGGAGTAGTAGTATTGAACCCCAATGGCTGGACGGCAAACGGGTATGTTTCTGCAGATTTCACTGACCAGATGCTTAGTTATGATTTAGAGGGTAGCCGCGTGGCAGCTTCGCCATAATCACTATTATTTATTCGAAATGGACTACTACAACAAGAATCATATCTATTTTGGAGTAGGCGTTATGTGCGTTTATATTTTCAAACAACCATAACGTAACAAAACCTTTGCTGTGACTGATATTGAAGACAACATGCTCTTTGCAAATCAAACCGCACTAACTGAACGTTGACAGATTGCAATATTTGCAAAAATTCTTTTAAGACTGAGCAGCAACCTACTAACCTATTTTCTCCGCATTTTCTCGTTTACACAGACTCTGATACTCGAGTCAAACTCTTTCGCTTTGTTCTATGCAAGGTATGGCGTTCTATTCCAAGACTTTTCAGGTCCCATCTGATCTTGTCCGTCAATCTCATTTTTGGTCTCCATAGCGGTTGTTTACTTAGCACTTCCATTGGCAGAACATGTTAGTGTCTCTCCTTACTCATTTATCCATATCAGCGCAAACGCCTCTCCTTCATCTTGTAAACGAAAACAACCTTCAATTGCGATCCAATCACGTTACGGATGCTATCCTTCAGATCCTTACGAACTTGGTGCAATGGAGACCTAAGGTCCATCCCAGAACCCTAGTCTCCATTGCACCAAGTTGTTCTCTTCTTTCCGCGTGTCTGGCCAACATACTACCATACATTGCTCTCGGAAGGATCACAGTGCGACACATCTGTGATTTGAGATGTAAGGCTTTCTTGTCGCATAGGACGCCTGTCAAGCTTCAATCATGCTGCACTTGACCTGGCCGAGACGTCTTCAATACCTTCTCCTGCTATGTGGGTGAGTACTTAAACGAATTTACTTTCTTTGTTGGCTCACCACTAATGCATGTGTACCAGGATTTATTCCTCCCTCCATATATTCGGTCTTCTTCGTTTGAGCTTCAAGCGTGCAGTTCCAGTTGGTTTTTTCCGCCTCTGTACCTCTTCTTCAAGTTTTTTCCTATTCTTTGCCATCAAAACCACATCACTGCAAAGAGAGCCAATGGCGGATGTTTTTTGACCTTCCTTACTTCATTCATCACTGTGATGAAGAACAACAGAGGGCATCGAACCTCGATGAACTCCGACTTTAATGTGGAAACACCTTTGAGCGGCCGGCTGCTGTCTGCACATGGCTGGTACTTTGTAATAGATCATTTCAACCTATTTGATATATTCTACATGTGCTTTTGCAGTGTCCACCATATAATGCTATAAGCACCTTTCGATTGCTTTTTGTGAGCCCAAAAAAAGCCGCATGCTACCCCTTCTATTTTTCCCTATACTTTTCCATAAATATATGGGTAGTACAGGTAGTCAGTAGTACTAGAACTCTATATAAAGTGCACTGGCTCGGTGGCAACTCTACAATTTTTCGAAGTCTTGTCTCGAGTATTTTTTTCTATAATTTTCAGATGTGACTCATTAGCCAAATTGGTCGGTATGTTGTACAGTTTGCAACTTCTTTCTTATTGGGACCAGTCTTCCATATTGAGACCGTTGAACTGATGGATTAATCTCGAGGCATTTTCTCAGCCCTGACTGAGAAATTCGAAAGCCAAGAAATGCCACGTCGTCCACATTCCTTCCGCTCGCGGATATCATCGGGATCATATGCCTTACCGTTCTTTGTCTTGGTTGTTGCAATCCAGGGATACATGCAACATAGTCTTAGAGACACGCATTTTGTAAACTTTTTCTAATTACCTACTCTTCGGAAATGAAGAATACACTGGATTTAACAATGTAATATCTGTACGAGTTGGCTGTCGTGAGATAATCATTTGACTGCCCCTCCTCCGCAGCGTGATTTGTGCGTGTCACTCTCCATGCCTAAAGAACTGGCAACGATTCTATTTATTTGGATCAACAAATTGCGCTCGTGTATATCACGAGACCGCTTTGAATACACTGAATACATAGCTTATCACCGATCTCTTGGGGTTTCTTAAATGAGCAAGGTGGGCTGCGTTTACGAAACCATCTAATTTTCCATGCGCCATGCGACAGATGTACTAGAACAATCAGGAAGGCCAGCCAATAGTCCATCTGCCAACGCATAGGTATCGGGCACTCCTCAAGGTCCTTAACGCAGTTGATGGAAACCCAATTTTTCACAGGTATTGACTCAAAATGTAGTAGGTACCCTCCCTCTAATTAGTAACAAGAACAAGTAAGGAATTTGAGAAAAATTAATCAATTTATCAACCTCATCCAACTTTAATGATATGATGTGTGCTGTTTACGACAAGTTTATTAGACTAGCTGGCATATCCGGCTTCGCTCGTTTGTTTTCTGTGCTGTTCTTTGCATTTGACTATCTGTCTCATCTAAATCTAAGCTGCTCACATTTGTGAAGGCATAAATTAACGCATTCATTAATAGTGCTTAAAAATGAGGGTATGCACTATGTGATTGATAGAAAGTATGCAAAAAAAGCAGCTATCTTGATAAGATCGAATAACATTCGTAGTTTGATAAATAGGGTCAAATTTTGAAAGTCCAAAAGTGCGTTGAGAGTGGGACTCAAGGCTTGCAAGCAATATATTCACCCGCTCTGTGCTTAGAACTTTTTCATTTGTTTTACTAATTGACAACAAGAGACTGCGCTTAGTTATTTTGCCCAATACCTTTTCACCCCGCCTTCCCATCAATTCAAATGAGCAACCACTTCGCATTGACGTATTTCCATTCAGTATCCACATTGGTCTGCATGATCTTGCTCAAATAGCCTGATAAGAATTTGCGCGAAAATTCGCAAATCAACACCATCATCAGATGACTAATTAATGTACAAAATAGCCTATTTTACCCGCCGGCATCTGAAATGTGTGTGTGCAGAATTTGGGCCTCATCGGTTCAAAGCTAAAATTTGTATTCCGAACATAGATATATACATACATACATACATACATACATA